TGGTAATTGGTCAGACCACGACATCCTGTTGAGGTAGGTCGCTCCTGGCGTGCGAGTGGTCAGCGTGACTGCAGCCTTGGCGTGATGAGTTAGCGATCACGGGTTCCCACGGTGGCGCTAACGCCCACTACATCTACTTCGTCATCTCCTACCGCTGCTCCCTCCATCGATAACACTCACAATCAGTGCCTTCCCCGGCAGTAATATGGCCCAATAATAACCTGTTGGCATCGCAATCACGTCTTCTTTAAATTTCGTACATTACCCGCATCTTTCCGAATAAGCTAAGCATGAGGCGCACAAAAGTTCACTTAACACATGGTCCTATATGGACACATGCAAATCCACGAAAGTGTAATTTGTCAAAATAATCTTAAGTCATTTGAAGCAAGACAGAATAGCAGAATTTATTCTGTCTTGCTTCAAATTATTACCGGGGAAAAAATGCTTTAAAAATCTTAAGTCAAGCATGCCCAAAAGATATCCAGCATTGTCGACTCCCCCCTCTCCACCAGTAAGATGAACATCAACAGCATCCATACCGCAACAGACATTGTAACCCCCAACCTACCCTGCCCACATTGTCACCACACATACAGAGTACGCATCAGCCTTATTGGTCAGTTGCCAATAACTCGCACAGATACTAGTGAACTAGTGTCATGAACGTCCATCTAAAACCGTAAGACTCGCCTCTGCTAACCACGTTAAATACGCAAATAAGAGGTTTCGATGGGAGCGAGACCATACTTTTGTTAGCAGATTACAGGGCATACAGTAGGTGGACATTCTCATGCAATCCTGATTTTTACAAGTAACTCCCTCTTACTCAAACGCAGCCCAAGCTGTGGCCCCTTTTTACAAGTAACTCCCTCTTACTCAAACGCAGCCCAAGCTGTGGCCCCCAAGTTTACAAGTAACTCCCTCTTACTCAAACGCAGCCCAAGCTGTGGCCCCAAAATTCTTATCAGTGTGCAGTAGATGGACTTTCTCATGCAATCCTACGATTTTTACAAGATTACAGTAGGTTCACTATCTCATGAAATCCAACGATTTTTACAAGTAACTCCCTTACTCAAACGCAGCGCAAGCTGGCCCCCAAAGTCTTACAGCAATAAAGTAATGATCGTTCTTCACAATAGGGCGTATTATGCTTTATGAAGGAGCATAACATTTTATAGAAACACCAGCTTTTTTAACAAAGTGGAAAATTACGAAAAAGTGG